TGACTTTATATTTTTCTCCCCGTTAACAAACAACTTGGCTAATCCCGTTAACGACTTTTTGGCAAATATAAATGCGTGCAGATCACTCCAATTCAAGAGCGAAATAGAATTTTCAAAGTCCTCGATTCATCTCTCCACACAATATTTGTCGGTACCATCAAAAGGTTTGATCGAATCCTCTACATCTCGAAAACTTATTGAAAACGCTACTGGTGGACCATTGGTTAGCTGTGGATTTGTTCCATGATGTCCATATGGCTGCGGCACACGAACTGGACCTGACTGTTGTGGTAAATGAAACGAAGTCGGCCGCATAGGGTTTCGAACAGCAGGATTATGAATATTAGTACGCGCACCTGTCGATCTATTCGTAATAATCCTCGATTGAACACCAACCGTTTCGCGAAAAGTTTCTTCCAATCCACCAAGCCCCTCATCACCCGCGTGCCCGTAAGAACCGTCCGTCAATATCGCGTCCCGCGCTTGCGACTCGTCAGTATCATACTCGTCGTCCGTTTCCCTGTCGTTTTGTAACAACGAATGTAACTGCTGTAGGTCTGTTAATATGTCGCAAATTGCCTTAGCCAAATTGTCTTTATTTACTTCGTTATAATTGACGCACAAAACACACGCGATTGTTATTAAATCGTTCATTGAAAAGTTTTCGTCGATAAATTTCAGTTTATTATTATATTCAAGAGAGTCTGTTTCAAAATTGAATCCCCCGAACTCGCGTAACCGTTTTCTATTGTTTCTGTCACCGTCACTTTCGTATATCAGCTTGTGTAGCACCCGAATTATTTTTATCGGCGCAGATTTAATATAGTCTTTCATACTTGGAATGCTGCCTAGAATCATTTTGCTTCGAAATAATAGTCCAACAGTACGAATCGCGAACAATATTTGCGTCACAATTTCGAAAAACGAAAAAAAAGAGTACTAATAAAAAATTGGAACAACCTTACCGAAAGTAGTCGTACAACCGTAGTTTTACCGTGAGCGTCTTTCGTCGTCAGCTGTCCGCTTCGCGCACACCGATTGGTCGATTCGATGGGCAGACAACCGTAGTCTCTCGTGTTATCCTGCGTCTACACGTGCCGGCAAGTTTTCGGTACTTCACAGTCTTCACACTAGTTCACACAGTTTTTGAGGCGATTTCACAATACAATTTATGAACCTACTGCCCACTATGATCCCAACACGCATTAAAATGCTAGAATTGTTGCACTATTCACAGCAGTACAGCACACAGCACTCGTTTAATAATTTAACTCACTAAACCTTACATGAAAGAACCGGTCGAGCCCCCAATTTTATGGGATCTGGCAGTAATACACGCTATTAACTCTAACGTCTTTACTATTCTCATAAAACATTGTCCACACAACGCTCACACAAAGAACTCTCATAAAATATTGTCCACAATTGCTTTCCAATCGCCACCGTCGTTACGTCGTTGTTCCCGTCGCGTTGTGTTCTCTTCTCTTCTACTCGCTTCTTCCGTCGTCGATCCGCCGTCCCGACACACAGGAGCGGTGCGACCCTCCCTGACTGGTACCACAGAGACGGTACGGCCCCCGATCAGATCCCACACTACGATAAATTAAATTGAAATAAATGATTATAATAAAACTTCTCCGAAAAAGGCGGACGGATCCCACGTGGTGAACTTCCCAAGGTTCCTGGTGACGGCCTGGGTGTCACATAAGAGTGCAGATACTCGGGACAACAGGTGAACCTTGTCGAATCAGCTATCGGTCGCAACTACAGGCGGTCAAAGTGATGCAGGAATCGGTCCCAGTTCAATCAGAAGACAGTTAAATACGAATAACCTCACGGAAGATCTAAGGAAATACGGATTGAAAAATCCAACTCAAAATAATAGTAGTAATAAAAATTGATCCTAAGAAACACATAATTAACGATTGCAATAGGAAGGAAGACAAGACTTACCCCTAGTGTTCTAAGTCAGGGATCGAAACGTGGTTGATTTGGTCAAGAGG